TTTGATTTGCATTGGTATTGTAAGGAGAAAATCTCTCTTGGTCACTCACGAGATTAAAATAGATTATTATAATAAAGCAATACCAGCAATGATAATGATGATGAAAACTTAATCAAATACAAAAGGTCAAACAGTTGAGTGACACACTTTATTTTTCAGATGATATCATTATACAAAGTCAGTTCACTTTGTTTATCAATGCAACTTATTAAGATGTGCAGAGCTTCTTATTTGTTACAAAACCAGATAAATTCAAATGAATCCACTGAACTTGAAACAGTCTTGTGCCCAGGCCTCCAATAGCCATGTCAAGCCCCTCATTTCATTTTTATATATAACTCTTACAAATATTTTCAATTCTAAGAATTCTGCTTACATTTCAAAGTAAAAAATAATTATGATTTCCATTTTGAAATGGTAGGTTAATCCTTTCTTAAGCTAAATCTATTTTTCAGCTGATAGTTACCAATAATGTTTGTAGACAAGGTTCTGTTTTTGGCTGAAAAATTGAAAGCCATCCATTTGTTCTCTGAAATATTCATATACAAAATTAACCAGTGATGTGACTGCTCTTCACATGCTGATACAGCCCTTGGTTTATCAAGTTCAATATATTTTCTGCATTTGACTGAAACATTAGTTTGATTCAGTCAACACCTGAATCTTTTATTCAAAAATTCTCTTCACCTAAAATACTTACTATATACAAAACTCTCAAGACATTTTTAAAATACACCACCAAAAAAGGTTTAAATTTCTTTGAAAGAATCTTTCTACAACTTATATGTTTTTTATTTAATTCTATATATAAAAACTACAAAAAATTTACAACTACAGTCACAGATTTTCATATCTTTATTCCACTTAAAAAATGAAAAATGTTCAAAATCAAAAGTGATTGTAATTTTTTTGTTGTTATTGTACATGAACCAAATCATAATGAATAACCACAACCTTTCGTTTATTGAAATAATGAATACCAAATGTATTTGAAAAGTTATGTAAACATCATGATAACATTATCAATAGCAATATCCGTACATCAGAATGCTTCACAGGTGTACATTACGGATTTGATTAACCTTTTTTCAGTCCTACCGCTCCTCCAAAATTATGTACACTAAAGAATGTCTCTTCGTTTCTTCCTTATTACTTTATTTCTATTCATTTGTTAATTTTATATAAAACCAAATTAGTTTATTAGTAACCGATTGAATTTTTCTCTGCTCAAAATAAGCCAAACAGTTCATCAGAGCGAACGTGGACTACTCAATTATCTGAATACGATGGTTTCCAGCTTCAGTAACAACAAATCTCCCTGTACTGAGCACAGCTAGGGCACTCGGACAACCAAATTCTCCTAAATTTTTACCTAGTGTTCCAAACGTACCAACAAACTTTCCATTTAGTTCAAAGACTTGTATTCTATTATTGCCTGAGTCACAGACCATAAGTTGTCCTGACTTGTTCATTGACAGACATCTTGGCGAAGTAAACTCCCCGTCCTCTACTCCCCTCTTTCCAAACTTGTACTGAAAATTTCCATTCCTGTCAAAAACTTTGATACAATGATCACTTTGGTCTGACACTATGAGATATCTATCATACTGAATACAGTGGACAGGAAAATTAAAAGAGCCCTCCTCACCTATCTTCATAAGAAACTTTCCATCAGGAGAAAATATCTTAATCAGTTTGTTACCTGCGTCTGCAACAATGATATTCCCCTCACTGTCTACAGAGAGACCCGGGGGAATATCAAGCTGACTATAAACGTTTCCTTTCCCACCAAAACTTCCCACGAACTCACCCTTACCACTAAAAATCTGAATTCTATGATTGCAACAGTCTGCTACAAAAATATCGCCATTATAATGAAACGATATTCCCCGAGGATTGTTGAATTCTCCCTCATTGTCACCCTTCTTACCAAATGATCTTAAAAACTTTCCTTCACTACTGAAAATTTGAATTCTGTGGTTTTTGTTATCAGTTACAGCGATCTCGTCGTTAGCGTTCACTGCAACCCCCCAAAGCTTATTAAACTTTCCAACCGACGAACCCTGTTGTCCAAAAGATAAAACAGGTCTAAACAGAAATGGTTTAACGCAGACAATAAATTGACTTCCGTGCACATGTTCCCCATTTACCTTTATCGCCACTTTACATCTTCCTCCATTTCTGGGAGAATAACTGATTTTATAGAGTCCGTCCTTATTGTCAATTATTTGCAATTCCGTTGCGCAGTCGCGTCCTTGTTCGTCAATAATCTCCACCGTTACATGGTCACCTTCCTTGTAACACTGTTTTCCTTTAGAGTCTCTTGTGATCAAAGAAAAGTGTGCTTGACAGTTAGCAATTGCTTCTTCAAGTCCTTTTCCTTCGACGACTGACTGACTTGCTTTTGTTTGGTGCGCTATTTCAACCACTCCGATTTCTTCGGCGTTTATGGTGCTTAGCATCTTTGGGTTTTCCACGAAAGCTAAAGCAGGAAGCTTTTCCGAGTAACGGTCTTTTGGCTGGCTTTGAGTTCCCTGAAATATTTCCTCGAATGATTTCTTTAGTTGAACGACTTCGGCGTGTGTGCTTCGTTTTAGAATTGTATCAGCTTTTTCCAACGATGATGCGATGATCTTTATTTCACTCTCGATCTCCGTCTTTTGCGTTGCTAGAGTTTCGAGGAATCTCTTCGTTTCGTCGTCCACCGCTACGATGATATTTTGTTTCTTCGCTTCAATAGTTGCAATTAAATTATCCACAAACTTCTGCACTTGTCTCTTGATATCATCGTTTTGTTGTATCAATTTTGCGTAGTCTTCATTCAGTCGACCCAAAGTGTCAATCTTTGCTTGTAAATCGTGCTTCTGTATTTCAATCAGTGATTTTAGTTCCATCTTTTGTCTTTCCGCTTCTTCCTCAAGGTGCAATATGGCGTGACCCGCATGATGTATCAAAACACAGCTTTGGCAAGCTGCCGTTTCGCAGTTCTTGCAGAAGTATTTAAGTTCTTCTTTCTCATGCCGCTGTTTAGAGCAGAACAAGGGTCGTTTCAACACATCCTCGTAATCCTTTTCTTGAAAGTCTTTGAGCGCTAGAACACGGTGATCTTTATTGACTTGAATGATGTTATGTGCAATGAGGCACTCTTCACACCAAAACATGCAACACTGGAAACAATAAGAACTCTCGGAGCTCTTCTTTTGACAGTTTCCACATCCAACTTGGCTGGTTTTGCATTCTTTAATGGCCAGCACATCAATCAAGCCGTTCAGATAAAAACTGGTGGGAAGATCTTTCAGATCGCCACTATCAGGCACTTTGCTAAGAACTTGACATTTCGGGCATCTGATTGTGTCTCGACCATGGCTTGATCTGTGCCAGTGTTTCAAGCATTGCAGACAGAAACTGTGAAGACATGGGAGGTGCTTGGGATCTGTGTATATGTTAGTACAAACTGGACAAGAAACTTCTTCGCGAAGATTGTGAAGCAACGTTTTGATATCCATGGCTAGTCCGTCTTTTTCGAGGAGAGAGCGAGCACAGTGGCTTGAATTCTCGGAAATTGATTCGAAACAATGAAGTCACGTGACTTTGTTTTCTTCTTTTTAAAGCCTTTTTCGGAATTTGTTTTGGTTGCTTTTCCACTGCATCAGCCAATCAGGGATCCTTGTCTCTAAAGTATGTCATGGAATGGTTTTTCATAAATACTGATTCCCAAGAATAAAACCCACATTTGGCTACTGCTTATCTTTTCTTGTAGACAGCTCTTATTACTTTCATCCTGGCGAGAAGAGTTTTCCGTAAATCACAAGTTTTTTTTGCCCTTTGTCCTTCGCGTTACGACGCCGGACGCATCTAATCTTTTGCTCTCTTTCACGTTTGTAGAAAAAGAAACTGAAGAAAGATTCCCATGGTCCAGGTAAAGTTGAAAGAGCAATCTCTTTCTTTTGTTTTTTTCCTGTTTGCGTATTTTGGGGTTGCTAAAAGGGCATTCACTTCTTAAATGAGTGACGTAGATTTCTTATTAATTGAGTAATGTGGGTGTCAAAGGGTGAAAGCGGGTCTATGCAACCTCATTCACAGGCGCCTCTTCTTCTCGCTCTCTGGAGGTAAGAAGTGAGAGTGCTGGAAACTGGAAACTACGTTGTTGTCCATTTCGGCCTTTGTGAGGCTGGGAAGGGAGGGGTGGGTGACTGCCTCTATCTTTTTTTTTTTAGCGCGTGTATCTCATTCAAATAAGTGGCGTTCATATGCTCAGAATGTTTTGATAAGCTTGCATAACTTTTACCTTATTTATTACATGATTTTTTATTTACGGGCCATAAGAAAGCTACTGTTCTTTTTTTTTTTTTTTGGGCAAGAAGAAGCAGTAATACAGTTCAAACACTCCGCCTTTGAACCGCCAGATTCCCTTCCCTGACATGTAGGTCATTTCCGCTTTTTAGCCCAGAGTTCAGCAAATACTGCGCTTTCGTCATGGCAAAAAAGAAAAGATTTGCCATTCTTTGCTTAGTTTGCCGAGGTTAATTAGGTGTTGGCCTCAGCCGGTTTGCAAACAAGAAAAGCATAAGGAAAAACGATTATATATAGTTCCTTTATTTCTATGCCACTTCCGATTACGCAAAGCCCCCTCCCTCCTCTCCCTCTCCGAATTTGTCTTGTTAATCGAAAGTACCAGACACTAGATTGTTGTATAACCGGGTTTTCGTTTGCGGCAAAAGGTGACGCAATAATGAAAGCGAAAAAAATTTTTTGGTAAGCTAGACATGCTGTTTCAAGTCTTCTTTCTTCTCACACTGTTTTCGGCTCTTTTTTGGGGGAATGTCTTGCAATATTTAGAGCGTAGCTGTTGTGTGACTCTCTTAGTAAAGCTGCGGAGGTCCCAATTTTCAGCATTCCTTTTTTTTTTTAAAGCTTTTTCCGCTTCTCCTCCTAAATGAAACTTTTTGCGGCCTTCTAATGCTACGCATCGCGCAGAATGCTTATTGTTCTCGCGACATTTACTTGCAGCAGTTAAAATATTATAGATCTGTAATATTGGCAATTAAGCGTGATCTAGAGAGCTTTGATTGGTCAAAGGTTACGCCGGCTTTCCTCCTCAGGGAGTATTGCTTTAGTTCATTAAATGTTCAAGACTCTTTATGCTGTTGTTAGAAAAAAATTACACATTACGTGCGTATGTTATAAGCTGGATGAGCGGCATTGGTTAGTTTCTTTCTTAACTGTTTTATTTGTTGTTCTTCCACGAAAATCCTGTCGTTTTTATCATTGATTCCTTTTTGTAAAGTTTAGGCGTTGATAAGCGTATTTGGGATCTCTCAGAGGGGACATTATTGACAGAGCTAAAAGGACACTCAGACACTGTGTACTCTTTGATGTTTAGTAGAGATGTGAATTTGCTGGCCTCAGGTTTGTTTTGCTTCTGCTTCGAATGAAGTCAAATGAAAAGAGAATAAAGCTAGTAAAGCCTCTCATCATCTTTGTAAGTTAAGTAATGACTTCTTTGGCTTATCCAAGTTATAGTTTTCATGTTTTTTATGGGTAGTGCGCTGTAAGTACATTACCCACATTGCCGTAGGCTGAGTGAATAAGGGAGTGTGAGAGTGTAGGTCTGCAATACATGCGTGAATTTTGAGTTAATAGTTAAAAGCACGTCGCTGTTTTCATCTTTGCTTCACAGCAGGAAAGCAGTTGCACATATTTACTCTTTACTTCCAGGTGGAGTAGATAACTGTGTAAAGCTGTGGAACGCTCGCTCTATTTGTAATCCTGATGATGACGACGATGAAGGAACAGACATGAAGGAACAGACCCGAAGTAAGTGTTACAGCTTTATCCCTCAGTGTATGATTACATTTCGTGGCTTGATTACTGTAAGCTCGAGCTGTTGCGCCTGTTAGATCGTTCTGCGCCGACGTAAGTGTGAGTCAAAATGCAAGAAATGAAACGCGATAAAATAAAACCAGTCAATATGTAATTTTGTCAAAAGCCCGAGTGGAATTTTGCATGTTAATTTTGTGTATGGATGAAAACCGGAAAAAACCCCGAGGGTGTGCACGGTCCACATGTGACGTCAAGTCTGAGGAACGGATGCTCTCACCACCGCGTCATCCCAGTTCCCTTTAAATATTTTGTTTGATTCTTTTTTTTTTTTTAATATCTATGTATTTTTTATTTGTCTCAGCCGCGCATCAAAAGCAACACATTTGAAATGGGTTCCTACCCAACCAAGAGGACTCCAGTGCACTGTTTACACTTCACGCTAAGAAAATCTGTTATTATGTCAGGACCTTTCACAGCCTCATCATGAGGGCGTAAATGAGGGTAGGAGTCCAAGAGTGCTTTTGACCTCCTTTACTAGGACCCAATTCTCCCCCCTCCCTCTTTCCCTCTCCCGTCTTAGCACACAACTGAAAAATTCTCCTCCGTCCATGTCAATGGGACAAGACTATAGCTGCATTATTCTGTACTTGTAAATACTGTATAAACACAAATTTTGTACATTAAAAATCATTTATAAGCTTCAAAGAAAGTATCACTTCATTCATTTTTTTTCGTTTTTCTCCAAAAAACACTGAAACCTCGTGAAAAGATGGATATTTCTTTTTATGGATGGGAGTAGGAGGTTTCTTAAAAGTTAAAACACACCAAATAATGAGATTTGATGAGAAATCATCTCTTGTAGGTGCTTTTAATTCCCAAAAAATAGTTTGATGAGTTTGTTGATTTGGAAGCGCAGGAAAAACGCAGATGGCCAAGTCGCGATTGGTTCTTGTTTTGCATCTGATTGGTTGAGAGAATGGTGCGAGTTTTCCAGACCAATTACAGAACGCTGAAAGACAAAACCTACGTCAGTCTGGATTACTTTTGACACTTAATGGAGATTTGTTTTAATGGCTTGCTAGACTTGGATGCATATAACGAGCTTACCAGAAAAGGTAATTTGGTTTTATCAACTGAGTTGCTAATATAAATTGGCCACCGTTTAAAAGACTTTCTAAAGCTGACGTTACTGATGAAGGGTGAACGCACGAAACTCTTTACGTTGTCCGAATTACATTGTCAACTCAGTTGATAAAACCAAATTATCTTGTACTACCACCAACCAACGCAGCACCACGGTTTGTTCAGGAGCTTACCCCTTTTATTACAAGAAAAAGCTCTGGCCTTACTGTGGTCCTATTTTCTAATAGGGTTTTTACATTTCACATTTACAACTTCCAGTCAACAATGAGCTAAACTATTTTATCGAATTTTACGAAAAAAAAGACAAAAGGAAAATCTGCGTAAATTTTGACAAGTATTCCATTTTTTGACAAAATTAACGCGCAAAATCATTGATTTTCCGCCTGCAGTCTGATGGATTTTGTTCAATGAAGGCCTTAAAATGATTAAGTCTGTTGTTTTAGATGCGCAATAAAAGGCAGGTACACTATTGAAAAGTAAATAATAATTTTGACTTAAAATTGTAAAATGATGGGCTTTTTTTTAAATTAATTTCTTTGCTTGCAAGCTTTCCGTCCTACTCTGTGATAGGTTTTTTAAAATTTATTTCTTTACTTACAAGCTTTCAGTCTTCTCTGTACTATCACGTTCGAAGAACTTTGAAGGTGATAAACTGTCAGTGTTGAAAGACAACTGCGTTAAGAGTTCAAAGATTAACGATCTTTTACAAAGAAAGGAATCGAACGTTAGCAAACTGGTCATAGCCCGTATCGCTTATTCTTCCCGAACGCATCTTAATCGTGCAAGCTTTACTCGATGGTCGCTCATCATCTATTACGTGTTGCTTTTCTCAGGTTCTGTTTTAAACTCTGTAGTTATTTACGTCATACTTCGAAGTGATAAGGCACGGCGAAATATTTTAAGCGTATTCTAGTATGGGATCTCCCAGAGGGGACATTATTGACAGAGCTAAAAGGACACTCAGACTTTGCTTCCAGGTGGAGTAGATAACTTTGTAAAGCTGTGGAACGCTCGCTTCATTTGTAATCCTGATGATGACGACGATGAAGGAACGGACCCGAAGAAAGTGTTACAGCTTTATCCCTCAGTGTACAATTACATTTCGTGTAATTGTGATAACAGTACTGCAACGAGACAAATGAAGAAACACTCGCAAATTTCATTGAATTAGATAGCAGCGAATCCAAGTTTTGCATGAAAGTCGATGCATACGAAATATTCATATGGGTCATGTGGCAATGCTGCATTTGAAGTAAAGAAGTTTATGTTTTGTTTAAGTCGCTATTTGAAATTAATTTGAATCAGATGACTATAAACTCACTCTATAAAAACTTACAAATATTAAGAAGTCTGCTTACGTTCCAAAGTACAAAATAATGATAATGATTTCCAGTTTGGAATGGCAGGTTAATCCTTTCTTGAGTTAAATCTATTTTTCATCTGATAGCTACTGATAATATTTAAGGACAAGGTTCTGTTTTTGGCTGAAAAATTGAAAGCCATCCACATGTTCTCTGAATTATTCATATAAAAAATTAACCGCAATAACTTGGCCACTCTTCACATGCTGATACAGCCCTTGGTTTATCAAGTTTAATGTATTTTCTGTGTTTGACTGCACATATTTGTTTGATTCAGTCAAACCTGAATCTCTTACTCAAAATTCTCTTCACCTAAAATACTTACTATATACAGAAATCCTATGTCCTTGTTATTTCTAAGACCTCAAGGCACTTACAAAATACACCACTAAAAAAGGGTTTAAAGTTCTTTGAGAGAACCTTTCTACAACTTAACATTTACTAACAATTTGCTAACAGATTTTCAAATCTTAATTCCACTTTAAGTGAAAACACTTTTGCATAATGAATAACACAACCTTTCGTTTGTTAAAATAATGAATACCAAATGTTTTGAAAAGTTATGTAGACATAACATTCTCAGTAACAATGCGCTCAGAATGCTTCACAGGTGTACATATTGGGTTTGATTAACCTTTCTTCAGTCCTACCACTCCGCTAAAAATTTACGGATATGTGCACCAAAGAATTTATTTTCATTTCTCCCTACTTTGTTTACCTCCATTTGTTAATTTTATATATAACTCAATTAATTTATGTAGAAAGCGGTTGAATTTCTTTCTGCTTAAAGTAAGCCAAACAGTTCACCAGAGAGAGAATCTGTACTACTCAATTAACTGAATACGATGGTTACGAGCATCAGTAACAACAAATCTCCCCGTACTGAGAACAGCTAATGCACGAGGAGTTATCAACTCTCCTAAATGATTACTCTTTGTTCCAAACTTACCTACAAAATTTCCATTCAGTTTAAAGACTTGTATTCTATAATTGTTTGAGTCACAGACCATAAGTTGCCCTGACTTGTTCACTAACAAAGATCTTGGATAATTAAACTCCCCGTCTTTTTCTCCCGGCTCTCCAAACTTGTACTGAAACTTTCCATTCCTGTCAAAAACTTTGATACAGTTATCACTATGGTCTGACACTATGAGATATCTGTCATACTGAATACAGTGGATAGGAAAAGAAAAAGAGCCCTTCTCACCTATCCTCCTTAGAAACTTTCCATCAGGAGAAAATATCTTTATAAGTTTTTTACCTACGTCTGCAACAATGATATTCCCCTCACTGTCTACAGACAGACCCGAGGGAATATCAAGCTCACTGTCAACGTTTCCTTTCCCACCAAAACTTCCCACGAACTCACCCTCACCACTAAAAATCTGAATTCTATGATTTAAGCTGTCTGCTACAAAAATATTTCCATTATTGTGAAATGTAATTCCCCGAGGATTGTTGAATTCTCCGACAATGTCACCCTTCTTACCAAATGATCTTAAAAACTTTCCTTCACTACTGAAAATTTGAACTCTGTGGTTGCTTTGATCAGTTACAGCGATCTCGTCGTTAGCGTTCACTGCAACCCCCCAAGGCCCATTAAACTTTCCAACCGACAAACCCCGTTCTCCAAAAGCTGAAACAGGTCTTAAGTGAAATGGTTTTACGAGGACAATAAATTGACTTCCGTGCACATGTATCCCGTTTACCTTTATCGCCACTTTACATCTTCCTTCATTTCTAGGAGAATATATGATTTTATAGAATCCATCCTTATTGTCAACTATTTGCAATTCCGTTGCGCAGTCGCGTCCTTGTTCGTCAATGATCTCCACCGTTACATGGTCGCCTTCATTGTAACACTGTCTTCCTTTATAGTCCCTTGTGGTCAAAGAAAAGTGTGCTTGACGGTTAGCAATTGCTTCTTCAAGTCCTTTTCCTTCAGCAACTGACTGACTTGCTGTTGTTTGGTGTGCTATTTGCAACATTCCGATTTCTTCGGCGTTTATATTGCTTAGCATCTTTAGGTTTTCCACGAAAGCCAAAACAGGAAGCTTTTCCGGGTAACGGTCTTTTGGCTGGCTTTGATTAATTCCTGGAAAGATTTCCTCAAATGATTTCTTTAGTTGAACGACTTGGGCGGGTGTGCTTCGTTTTAGAATTGTATCAGCTTTTTCCAGCGATGATTCGATGATCTTTACTTCACTCTCGATCTCCGTCTTTTGCGTTGTTAGAGTTTCGATAAATCTTTTCGTTTCATCGTCCGCCGTTGCAATGATATTTTGTTTCTTCGCTTCAATAGTTGCAATTAAATTGTCCACAAACGTCTGCACTTGTCTCTTGATGTCTTCGTTTTGTTGTATCAATTTTGCGTAATCTTCATCGAGTCGACCCAAAGCGTTAATCTTTGCTTGTAAATCGTTCTTCTGTATTTCAACCAGTGATTTCAGTTCCATCTTTTGTCTTTCCGCTTCTTCCTCAAGGTGCAATATGGCGTGATCCGCATGATCTATCACAACACAGCTTTGGCAAGCTGCCGTTTCGCAGTTCTTGCAGAAATATTTAAGTTCTTCTTTCTCGTGCAGCTGTTTAGAGCAGAACAAGGGTCGTTTCAACATGTCCTCGTAATCCTTTTCCTGAAAGTCTATGAGCGCTAGAACACAGTGATCTTTATAGCTTCGAATGATGTTATGTGCAACGAGGCACTCTTCACACCAAAACATGCAACACTGGAAACAGTAAGAACTCTCGGAGCTCTTCTTTTGACAGTTTCCACATCCAGCTTGACTGGTTTTGCATTCTTTAATGGCCAGCACGTCAATCAAGGCGTTCAAATGAACACTGGTGGGAAGATCTGCCAGATCACCACTACCAGGCACTCTGCTAACAAGTTGGCATTTCGGGCAAGTGATTGTGTCTCGACCATGGCTTGATCTGTGCCAGTGTTTCAAGCATTGCAGGCAGAAACTGTGACGACATGGGAGGTGTTTTGGTTCTGTGTATATGTTAGTGCACACTGGACAAGAAACTTCTTCACGAAGATTGTGAGGCAACGTTGTGATATCCATGGTTCGTCTGTCTTTTTGAGGAGACAGCGAGAATTTCGGAATTTGACCCAAAACAATGAAGTCTTGTGACTTTGTTTTATTTT